TTTAAAGAAATTATGTTTTAGTTCTCGTTTCATCAACAGATGGCGCCACTAGCTTAACTCCTGTCCACTCTTTCTTATCTTATCTCGTTCATTTGCACTTTTGCAGCTGAGCATGATGGTTTGGTAAAACTATCAAACCTAGTCATGTGAAAATTTGGAAATATAATGCTGATTTTTGTTGTTTGGCTTCTAAATTTAAAAAGTTTACAGCAGTACTTTGCACAGCATTTGAAATTAACACCCTGAATGATATTTAGTCTCTATTAGTTTATAATTAAAAATATTTTGCTTTTTTTAATGATGCAGATATTATCCTAATGAACGGAAGTTTATGAAAACAGAAACTAAAACATTTAGCTAATAAATGCTGGCTTTAAATTCAGGTCTGTATGACCAACTTCAAAAGCCAGTGCCACTCAGAGAGTCCTCCTTTTTTCTAACTACTACAGTTTAAACATTATTAAAATTTTCTAATATATTACATTGGAGAGAGAATATTAAATATGTTACTGATTACATAGCCACTGAACTCTCAAGACAGTACATTATTTTTAAAGATACTTTCCTTTTTCTGGTTTTGTATTTAATTATAAAATAAATTTAAAATTCTTGTTTAAATAAATTAGTTTTTCTTGAATTATTAATTTTCATATTTTGTGCTTGAAAATAATTACGTAATTTTTATTAATTAACATAATTTTAACTGTCATTATTTGCATCTCCAATACGAAATTTTAGTTTGTTTACTGTGCTCTATCAGATATTGCTTGCAATATTCTATATTACAGATTTTTCTTTGCTAATATGTTTCAAAATTACTAAAACTTCAGAATTATTCTTCTTACCACATTCTTTTTTTTATTATTAATTTTAACCATTTTATTTCAAAATTTAAGCAAAGTGCTATTTTTGACTCTTTACATTAAGGTCTGTAAGGGTTGGCTATTGATTGCATAATTTGGTTCACATTTTCCCCCAATTAAAATTTTTATCGAAATTTTAAATTTCTGAATTATGCAACCATTAGCTCTAAAAAAGACTATTTTCCTTTCACATATCTTAAGACATCAACCCCCTGAAAAAAATTTTCCACTAACGGCGAAATCCATTTATTTTTATTTAAAAAAAAGTTCAAAATTAATTTTTTTTTACAATTGCATTTCTTGAGTTTTTGTAGTGATTATTGATTTGAGTTTCATTTTTGCTATGCTTTGGTTTAACCATTGTTTTTGGAATTGCTTTTGTCTGATTTTGTTTTAAATTTCTTATTTATATTTAATTATTTAATTTTTAAGACTTTTCTTCTTCACTAGTGTTCAGTTTTGAGCAGTAACTATTTGCACATTTGTATACCAATTCAGTTTGGTACTATTTAATCATAACTAAATAATTTGAATCCGCTTTGATACATTTTAAATTACTTTGACTAAATTAATGCAACTTTCAGTGTGTTATTTAGGTTCAGGTTTATTTGAACTTAAGTTTTCTTTCATTCAAATTACATATATAAAAATTAAGTAAGGTAAAATTCTAGATTCAGTTTACAACAGCCCTTTAACTCTCCTTTTCAGTTTGGTTATTTCCCCTCCTAGACTAAAAATAGTTGCTTAAGTAAATCTCTAAATTATGTCATTTAAAAATTAATCTTTCTTATACAATTCTTATGTGATGCTAATGACACAGGTACCTTGCATTACTGTTCAGCCAATTTAAATACTGCAATTTGCAAACTGAAACTTAATCAATCAAAATAAAGTTGAACCAACACTGAATCATTCTGAACTAGGTCTTTACACTAGATACTTTACATTTCTTTTCCACTTCTCTCTTCTGGTGGCTTGCTGTTTGATAATATTCTTACTTCAAATATATTCTAAAAAACCTAAGAAGTATCAGTGTAACTATTCAAAAATGAATGCACTTTCTACACTGATTTAACTATGTTTAAATCAAGATACTGGCTTATCAACATTAAAAGAAAGTATTCAACTGGCTATTTACTACTGCTACATCTTTATATTCCTAGCCATCAACATTTATTCACAAAAAATCAAATGATTAAATGCCCTTGCTTGACATTACAATGACACTAGTTATTAATACTATATCATGAGCATACTCCTGTCACCAGATGACAGAATTAAACATAAAAAGATGATGATTTGAATTTGGAATCTTGATTGCATGGATGATGAAAATGACATGATCTTAAATAATCTCCACTGGAAGATGCAGAAACTGGACCCAAACAGATATTTCTGTATAAAGACCATACTCAAAACAGGCCTTTGGTAAACAATGGCTGCTTATTTGAGTGTCAGTGGCTGCTAAGATGTTGCAAGCAAACTTACCAGGCAATTGCATGTTTTCTTTATATCAGTAATCATAAATAAGGGTCTTTACCTGCTGCATTTACTCTCAGGCATCTTGACTATCAAAAGGATCAATTGTTCTCAAGTTTACAAAATGACTTAAAATTCTTGAGATCATGCTTTGAGGAATGATGCCCAACTGTATTTTGACCTGTCTCACCTACTAACCTCCTGCAATTTTTGCTCTTTATCAACAAAATGATATCCTTTAGATATCCTCAATGGCATTTGATCATGTTTCATTTTCATAAGTTTCCTTTTATGATTTATTTTGTGTTTGGCTTAATTACATCTTTTGTGTGCAAACACCTGAGTTGGTTTCTTGAATATAATTATGTTCAGTCTTAATCCATCTTTGTACTATTAGCATTATTTTTATTATTTAATCTAGAACACCAGTCTAATAGTTTGAAATCCATACTCTGTTGTTTACATTTCTGTATTAAGAGTACTAAAGTACAAAGTCTGAAATTCAGACATCCAATATATGGACGCGCAAACCACAAGCAGCCCCCCTCAAAAAAAAAAAAAAAACCCGTCAACTACAAAATCTATGAATGGAGAAAATAATACTCAACAAATATAACCAGGTGTGCTATAATGTGATTTTTCTCCTGACTACCTGAGAATCCAGCATGTCACTTTCAAACACCTGCTGGCTAGGGAATTGCACTGTGGCCATTGACAATCCACTGATTGACATTACACTGATATTGCCTGCAAACATTTTCAGGTTTTGAGTGGTTGTGGAGGGCTAGCACTTTTCTGTCTGAACTAAACGATAAATGAAGTTCAAATCCTGACCTCAACAGACCTACACTGATAATCTAAAATCCAGAATCACCCACGATGATTCCAGATCTCAGACTTTGTGCAGTAAAACACTTGAAACACCGGATGTCCCTACATACCAATGCTTATATAGAGTAAGAGAGGCAGATGCTTATACTGAGGCTATTAATAATTAAAACAAAACCATGCAATATTTATTTTATATTTTTAGCTCACAACTGTAAAAGTTAGCTCCCTCTGATAAATAAATATTTTAATAATTGAGATACTGGATTTACTAATTGACATTTCATTTAGCAATTTACATTCTAATGAAAATACTAATTTACATTTTCAAACTGATAAGCATAACTGTACATAATAATAATATATAAGTACAGATGTCAAGAAAAAATTAACTTTACAACCAATATGTACAGACAACAAGCAAAAAGATCTGGATGTACAGACCGTATGTACAGACAACAAGCAAAAAGATAGGAAAAATGGATTTAGGAACAATCAGAATGCATATTTCAGCTGAAATACGATACCCCAAATATTTTGTAATTACATTACTTTCTTAATTCCCACATGGAAGTAAAAATTTATTTTTATTCCATTTTGGAATAAAGTGTTCTTTATTTTGTCTGTACATACAGATGTCACAGATGTCAAAACAGATTTGGGAATAGTTAAAATAGATACTGTGGTTGAAATCTGAAACCTAGAATTTTTCTTAATTACAATACTTCCTTTATAGCATAGAAAGAAGTGAAAAACAGAAATTTCACATAAAAATATACATGTCTTTTACTTCTTGGAATAGTTCATCTTCTCATAATTACTTGCTTCATAAAAAAGTTTTATTTGCAATGCAACAAAAATACACATAGTATATTCTGCACAAAAATAATTCCTTTATACTTTACACAAAAATAGAAAAGTGGCATAAGTTCTAATATAATAGCTTAAATAATAATAATAATAAACATTAAAACACTTTCCTCATATCAAAGTATATTGCAATGTATCAAATCACTGAATAATGTAACAGCAAAAAGAATAAATAAGAAAGCATGGACTTGCTACAAATTAAGCCTAAAATTGAATTTTTCGAAAGCAGAATGTCATGTCTAAATAAGCTTCATTATAATAAAAATATATAATATACAAGAACTAAATGCAAGCAATGAGATCATAATGATATAGATGGTTTAGCTCCATAACTTGACATCACTGTTCTGTTCTATTAAACAAAACAAACAACAGCAGCACACACACACACACACACAAAAAAAAAAAAAATCTTAAAATTTATAATTTGAACAGTAAAAGTTGCTAAACAATATACCTCCATTCATTACAAACTACGAAAACTGATTACTGTAACTAAATATTTTACATTAATAAGAAAAAACATGTCAAATTTAAATTTTTGAAAGTGTATGAATAAAGAAATTATTTGCATAATAATTTTCAAAACTAAATTACAATCATGTTGAAAATATGGATCATGAAAAACTGTTTCCATCCATAATAGATGTTTTATATTTGATGTTCACTAATTAAAAAAGCTAAAAATTATGCATATTGCATTCAAAACTTGTAATTTTATAAATGAACCTAAAATTTTTTTTTATTCTTGGTAAATGACTTCACAAATGAAATTTTTGAAGTTTTATTTTGTTTGGCAATATTAGGTTTTAAATGTACGTATACTAAATGTTTTCCATTAATCACATAAATGCAAAATACTTAATATATATATATATATATATGTTCTTTTAAAATATAAATGTAACTCAAGAAAGGTTACGAAAAAGTGCTCAGCCAGAAATAAGACTGATGACATACTGGATCGCTTCCAATATCGTGATAATTCATTTCTTCTTCTAAAGTCAGATCATCATCTTCCTCATCAATACGAGCATGCTTTTCACATTCATAACTACAGCTAGGAGCATGTTTATCACCAGACATCATAATTACTGGACAATTCAACCTGTCCTTCTGAAATAAACAGTAAAGAATTCAAACAATAAGATTTCTTTTATAAAGATCAATTTTAACATTAATGAAAAATTCTAGTGTAATAAAGATTATGAAAATGAAATATCCTAGAAAAGATACTAACATCATAAATGTGAAAAGGCCCGTCAAACAAATGTTTTCAACATTTATACTAAAATTTTCAATTCACTTCATGAATTTCCCATGCTTTCAGAATTCATCAAAAATACACAAATACTTCATGGAATTTATTTATTAATATTTTATAGCCTTTTAATGTGTCATAATATCATTAGTATCATGGCACACACAAGGAAGATTACTATTTTTAGAAAACCACAATCTCACTTTAGAACTGATTCTCAAACACCGATTTTGAGACAAATCAAGTGAAGAATTTTAACAGCAGATTTATCTAATTTTACCAAAATTTAATGTTACGGTGTTGTTTCATCTCAAAGCAAATTTTTTTGTACAATTTCTTCACAGTACATGAAAATGATTCCAGAGTTCTGATATGCAAACAGCAAAATAACTAGTTTAAACTGGCTTGAACAGGAAAGAGTTGAAATGTCATTCTTTCTAAATCCTTTCCTTTTTTAAAATTTTATTGTTTGGTCTTTAAATTTGTCTGGTTACTTTACGGGTGCACCTTATTATAGCCAGTTTTATTACTGGGATATGAAACTAGTACGATTTTGCAACTTTAGCCAACCTTGTTAACTTGATGTGTTTGGAAGTTAGTAAATTGAGCACAGAAATAACAATATTTATTCCAATGACAGAGAGATCATATTGTCCTTCAAGTATTTTATTAGAGTTTAATTGAAGTCTTTCAAAAAGAAATGTATATTGGGATATTTAAATAGAAAACAATAACTCACAAAATTTGGTAACTTAAGCAAATAAGATAATGCATAATTTCAAAATATGATACTGTAATAACAGATAATTAATAAAATATTATTCTTACAATTGGATATATAAAAAATATGTCAAGGGTTATTTTGATTTGAATTTCAAAACACCTAAAATTAAGCCTAAGTTCATGAATTTAATTTGTTCCTGAAGCCTGAAGTAGAATTCTTACATATGCATCTTTGTTTTGTAGCATTATGCAAAACATTGTAACATAATCTAAAAAATGTGTTAATGGAAAAAAAGCGCAGTTTCATGATTTTTGCATGATGGCAAAAATATCTTTTACAATTATGGGGAGAAAAAAGTAATAGCATGGAGATTAAATAGTATAGGCAGTGTTAAAAAAAAAAAAAAAAATGCTGAAATTTGGAACAAAGTGCTAAAAGAATGAATTTACTTGTGAACGAAGTTAAAAATAAATGTTTACTTTGTTTAAAGTCAGACTTACAAATTAGTCACTTAGAAATTGGCAATTATAAATTTGCAAAAGTTAACAGTTTTACTTATTTGGGAATGGAGATAATCAAAATGTGTTGGCCCCAGAAATACATAAAAGAATCATTGCTGCAAATAGATGTTTTTATGCTCTGAAGTGTTATTTAAAATTCAGCTTTCTTAAATTAAGAACTAAATTGCTTCTTAAAAAGAGTTTTATAAGATCTGTCTTGACTTATGCATCAGAGATATGAGCACTGACTTTATGTGATGAGGAAGCTCTGGGAATTGTTGAACGAAAAATATTATGTTGCATTTTTGGTGAGGTCCAAGTGAATGGATTATGGAGAAGATGATCTAATTGAGAACTCTATAAAATTTACAAACAATTCGTCAAACTACAGAGACTTATTAAATGGGCTGGCCATCTGGCTATAATGGATGAGCATCGTTGCTGCAAGAAAATCTTTCTGGCAAAGTCCATGGGACCTCGGGGCAGATCCCCGCTAAGATGGATTGATTGTGCTGAAAAAGGTCTTAGTATTTTAAAGGTTAAAAACTGGAAAACAGTTGCCAAAAGTACAGATGCCTGGAGAAGACTTCAGAAGGCCATGGACCACCCAGGGCTGTCGAGCCATTGAAAAAGAAGAAGAAAGTGTAGTGAAGGAGCTCTAAAAGATAATTCCCATGCTTTGACAGCCAGAATTCAAAAGAATGGCTTCATATCTTTTTAGGCTTGCTTTATTTTGGGGGGTTTTATGAAGTTGCTCTACTTTTTAGAGAATGGATGTTCAGTTACATGGTAGATTAAAGGCAGTTCTCAATCACAAGTTGACCTTGTGATTATTTCAGTAACTTTTCTTATTTTAAGGTCATATGAGGGTTAGTTGATACTTGCGTTTTATTCTTTTGAAGGGGGGGGATGGAGAATATCTGCAACAGAATATGGATACTCCTTAATCTATTTCACAAATGATGTTTATGTTTCTGGTACATGTAGTTTTAGATAATCTGTATATATAATTTTTGTGATCAGAAATTCTTACTGCAAAATCTTGAAATTTAACTGCAAAATGTGTAGCAACTCTAGAAAAAGATGACTGTGAGGTCAATCTTTTAGCTTGCAGTGATGAAGCAAATGAATTGTTAGTGAAAAATTCCATTCCATTCCACTGCAATTTCAATATGTCTGTATTAACAGTATTGTATAAAAAAATTAATAAATTATCAGAATAAAGTAAATAAATAAATTCAATCAATTTTAAAGAATAGTTCCATGTTTATTCTTAATTTAGTTTTGCTCATAAAATTTCCTCAATCCTTTTATTGATATTAATAGTAGTATTACTAAAAAAGCAAAAATCTGAAAATATTTCAACAAGAATTCTGATTCTTTTTTTCCTGCTAACAATGGATCAATACAGTAATAATTTTTAAAGACAACTGATGTTTCTTCATAATAAAAACCTTCCAGACCCCAAACAAGAAAGATAATAAAATACTAAATTCACTATAAAACTTTAGGCTTAAACCTTATTTTGCAACACTTATGCTACAAGTTGTAGTTATGTAAGTATGTAAGTAGTATTTCATACTAAGTAATGTAGTATTTCATACTAAGTACATAATTGTTCCATGTATAATCCAGAAGTATATCTGCTACTGAACTATTTTTAAATAAATCGATATCATATGAAGAAGTAAGTCGAAAAATAAGAAACGTATCTTTTCACATTTTTTTATTGAAACTTAACAACACATGCAAAACATTACAACGGCATCCATAGCACACATGCAGAGAAGAAACTTGGTGTTGCCAACATGGTAAATATAAATGTACCAAACTAACAACTATGCATTTATATTGTACTGTATATAATTTGTCTCCATCTTATTAATGCAATATTCTGTGCATTTGTAAAACAATACTATGATGATGTCTCTGCATTGAAGACAAGTACTTTCTTTCAACAGCCTTGTTATGTTAATATTCTTTGCCATCATTTCATTCTTAACTTCAGTATGTATATTGTGTAACCCAGAAGTATATCTGGAATTGAATTGTACATTTTTATTATACCATAATGTCTCCACCTTATGTAATGCAGTATGTTCCTTATGCAATGCTTAATGCACCTTATGTAATGCAATTATGTTCATTTATAAATAACACCATAATAATGTCTCTACATTGAAAATATGTACTCTCTTCAAAGGGCCTTATTTGCTCATGTTATTACTTTTTATAGAAACACAATAATACTGACTCTACTATCATCCTAAACCTTGCCTTGGCTGAGATTTGGCTGGAAGGATATTCACTCTGTGCAGGGGATAATACCATATAGCTTCAGCAGTGAGTAAAAATGGTAGTAGTTATTTCCTACTTAGATAACAAAACTAAGAGGTGAACTAACTGTCTACATAATTCTTTGGAAATTTACAATTAAAGAGAAGAAATCAAACCATTCTGTTTATAACCATAAAATAAAGAAAGTATTAATTTATATTTTCAAATTGATAAACATAATTTTAAACACAGAAATTAAAAAAAACTATAAAAACTTTAAAAAAAAAAAAAAAAAAAAAAAAAAAAAAAAAAAAAAAAAAAAAAAAAAAACCCACTAAAAATGCTCTCAATTATTTTTATCACACAAATCCCTTAGAAAAGTTAAAAACTATTACTACAATAGTACCAACATATTTATTACAACAAATATTCAATTCAACATTAAAAAAAAGGCATTATAAATTTGCCTACAGAATAAATGTATACATACAGGGCCACTACGAGACTGAGGTCTGAAGCCAGGCCCAGGAGGTAAATTTTTTTGAACACAGCATACAACACCAGGGCTAAAATGCAGTTCCACATGAAATCTTTCTTCAGATGAAATATCCTATCAAAGATTTTGTAAGAATTACTTTCTACAGTGTTACTTATATAGGCAAAACTTCTTTTAAAAGTAAATCATTTAAATAAGGGAATAAAAATAAATTGATTTAAACAATGGAACTGTGTTAGTGGAAGATTGTGTTTCTATATTTATAGTGAACTAATTTGGAAAAAATTACATGAAATAAAAAGCAAACAGCATATTAAATCAAAAGATTAACTACATAAAATCTACACACCACTGTAAAATACAAGTGTAAAGAGATACAAAAGGTCACCACCTTTGTTGGGTCTTCATATAGCATGATAACAACTTGTGTCATGTAATTTAATTCAGACACAGCACTAACATATTCCATAGCTCTTCTCCATTGTTCATCTTCTGTTTCTTCAGGTAGACAGCTGCACAAAAAACATGTATCCGGCCACTGGAAGGAGTCATTTAGAATGTTATATAGTGTCTCCTTCAGACAAACAGTAATAATACAAATCCCAGGTTTAGAAATTATTCTTTATTCAATACCCCTCCCAAACACATAGATAAAAAAGCAGAATATTTTTAGTTTGATTATCATATAAAATAATTCCTCAAATAACAAATCTAAGATATACAAAGCATTATTTCTATAAAAATTTCCCAACATTTGTATGCTTTATTAAAAAATTGAATTAATATAAATATGTTTAAAAGTATTTTTTCCTTTTTAAGTATTTAATAAAATGTGTATTTTAATTCTGGAAGAAGAATAAAAAAAGAAATGAAGAAACATTTATTACATTGCTGTAAGGAAGACCTATATATATACTGTATGAACAAACATTAAGCATAAAATGGAGACTTGAAGCCAAATACTTAAGAAACTGCATCAAGAAATTATACAAACCAATAGTCCCCAATATAAGTGAAGTACTTTGGCATGAATTGTTAAGGACAGATAATTTCAGTCAATTTTGTCAAAGCAATCTGTAGACAATGCAAACTTTTACATATTTATAATGAATTACACATTATCATTGTTCATTAACACTATATTTTCCTTCTCTAATAGTTCTTTTACTTATTTTCTTATCTCTTTAAAATTATTTACAAACTTTAGAGCTTTCTTTCAGACATCAATAAAGGGACAATTAAATACAATTGCAATTTTCACCACTTACAGTCATGACCTTTGGATTCACTTATTTATGAAAAAGGGGAGATGCACAGGATTCGTAAGAGAGAAATAAGAGCCACTTAGTTACATTACTCCTTATTAGCATTGCATTGTTACATTACTCCTTATTGACATTTTAAGTTAACAACCCTATTGGGTAAACTTTTGGCACAGTGCCATCCAAGGTTGCATTAGTGGTGATCAAACACTACTTGTCTGTGTTTTTGTTGGTGTGATTAATCACAGATCACCATAATCAAGAGATAAAAGGTTCTGCCTGTCATTAGCCAAGATGTTGGGCACCTTATAGCTTAAAGTAAATTCCTCTCATTCTGCTCCAAAATTGATGGAGAACAAAAGAATAAATTTGATAGTCTATTCCTCTTCCCTTACCACCAACCTCTTAAAAAAAAGAACTTTCATCTTGATAGTACTTAGATAGAGTCCCAATGTTGCACAGGCACTATATACTCCCCAGAAAATGTATACATCCATGTGTTCTCCGGGACTCGAACTCGGGCTAAAGGTTAGAACAGCTTGCTTCCATATCACTATGCTAACAGGGTGGCTTATACTTTTCTTCTGGCATATCAAATGATGATATATGAATGTAAAATATAAAAAATACAATGGCTTTGCTCTATGCGAACAGGCAACCTCTAATTAACTTTCCACAATTTCAGGATCTTTTCCCTAGACCAGTACTTTCGAGAGCATTCTGGCTGATAATGTAACTGCTAGTATAAATCCCGAGTTTGCACCATTTTTTGTCAGACTGCTTTCTCCTCTTCCTGCTTTCAGGCCTTTGCTGCTGCTCTTCCCATCTGTCTCCCTTCGTTTGAATAGTATGATGCAATAAATTTAAAGTTAATCTTATTTAGTTTAAATCACTATTGAATATATAATTTTGGAGAATTTTGTCTAAAAGAATAATGATCTAAAAGATATGAAGCTATAAAGTTAAATTCGTCTGCGTCATCATTTCACTGAATCCCATTCCTCCAAAAAAGGCCCAGACTCTGATGCCAAGCTTCATCATTCCTGGGCCTGCCTACTAAAATATGATGTGTATATTCCAAACTAAATCAGAATATTTTAGTAGAACTTTCTATCTCTGCTTATACAACAAATAAAAGAAAAATTTCACTCAATGGCAACATGAAATCATAAAAGCATAATTAATTTTATATACATATATATACTTTCAAAATGGAATGTTTTACACAGGCAAATATGAATTATGATTTATGAAATTCCATGACCTTATACACAAATAAAATTATTTCAATATTTCAGTTCAAGTCCTTTTTTTTAATAGTACAAACATTTATTGTTTACTTTTTCATTTTGTTTCAGCACTTTAAAATGGAAGACTGACTAAGAATAATAGTATAATGTAATATGCAGTAATAATATTTGATACTTTACATTACATTATATTACCCTTCTTTGCATCAGATTATATTACTATATATGTTACTGTGAAAGAGTGAAATTGAGAATGTCAAAACATACCAAATACGTCGGTGAAAGATTGCATATTTGGTTATATTCTCGTACATTCGGACCATCACCAGTGTATGTATGACATACATTTATCCAAGCACAACTTAATCACAGACATACTGTGGTGAAGGTCGAAAAGAGAAGTTGAGTTCAACAGAAAGGCGACTGTCTGTCGCCAAATCCTTTGCTCTGCTGCGATTAAAGTTATGTAGCATGTATTTGTATACTCTCGAACACTGTTTGTCAGTCTTATGCTATGTTTGATGGTACGTGCAACGTTTTCTTATTTTTTTTTTTTTTTTTTTTTTTATCCAATACCCTAATTTATGTTGAATGGATACTGCAGTGAATCGTGAACTTTCCCTTGAAAAGTTAAATGCATTAATTGCGAGTAAACGAGAAGACAATTGTTTTTATTTTTCCAACACAGCTTTCAAACACATCTCTCCTCACCGGGATTGATTACTCCTTATGAAGGTATGTTTGGCATTAAACCAAGAAGAGGCATAGCATCGTCTTTTTTGCCTGGTGAACAAATCGCAAATATTGAAACCGAAGAACAACTTTTAAAAAAGTGTTAATACTTTTGAAACTGAAGAACAGCTTGAAGAAACTGTTAATACTTTTGAAGAAAATCGGAGCAGTGGCCATACTAAAAACCATATTCCAAAGAAAAATATTGAGAAGGGCCTGCAACCTACCACGTCTTCATATCAAGCCTGGACTGAAAAACATGAGTTAATTTCTATACAGAGATCAGTTGCGAAAGAGAATCTTTTACTGAAAGCAACAAAAATGTTACAAACCTCAAAAAAAAATTTTCTCCTGCTCAAATTTGTAATACCGTACGAATACAAGTCCCTGATGTCGACCGTGGTCGTACAGATGGCCAAAATGTGATGGCAGTTGTTGTTGGAATAAGACTGTGGCTTTATAAACTAGAAAATAAAAATGACACCTTCAAGCACTTTATACCTGTAATCAGTTCGTAATTTGTAAAGAAAAGTTACTTTCAGTAGATGAGAATTCTTCTCAAGTAATGTCGCTGAGAGAAGCAGCTGCAGCTAATTCGAGTAGAGGGCAAGGCTATACAAGCTGTCACTGCAAAAGGAAGTGTTCTATAACTAAATGCAGTTGTAAAAGCAAGGGACACTTGTGCAAGTCAAATGTCATAAAAGTTTATGTTGTTGCAATAAATAAGATTTCAATCACATAATTAACTTTCCACCATTTTTTTTTTTTTTTTTTTTTTTGTATTATTTTCTTTTCCCATTTAGAATGTATTGTTTAAGTTCAAAAGTTTATTTACACACGCTTTTACTTAAGTTTTTTCATATTTTGACATGTATGGTATAAATGCAAAAGTAAAAAAAAAAGTTCTTTATTGACTAAATTTAAAACTAAATGACATACATTTATCCAAGCACGACTGCTGTCAATATTAAGAAGTCAAACAATATCGAGTAGCCCTTCTCGCGTTAGAATCCAAAGCTACATGTCACACAGTGAAAATGCCTCTATAGTTACAAATAACTCTTCTACCAGGGATTGGTAGCAGATAGGCGGGAACGCTACATCGCCCTTGAAGTTTTATGATGCCTGAAATACGGAGGACAAAATGCAAATCTCCGACATTTTCAACATTCAACATTAGTGCATGGTGAATGTCGACATTTGCCAGTGTAAGTCAGAAATAAGGATATTTGGCAAATATTTTGGACATGCACCAAGCGACTTTGTGAATGTTGACATTCACCGGTGAATGTCGACATTCTCCAAATCTTGGTCTTTCACAGTAACATATATATTAGATAAATGCAACATTAAGTAACTAGTCTTGCAACTGTTGAGATTTCATGAAGCTAAGGGTCTTTTACTTATCATCAACATATCTAGGTAAACTGCACGTTTTCAAAAGTATTGCCTCTTGACATTCCATTAGAATAATAATTTTTCAAATAACATCACTAATCTGCTTAGCTACAAATGATTTAACAACAACAGACACTTCTTAATTATACCTCTGATGTAACTTATAAAACATCACTAATCTGCTTAGCTACAAATTATTTAACAACAGACACTTCTTAATTATACCTCTGATGTAACTTATAAAACATCTAATTTAAATTTACAAGGTTTCAAACTGATAATTATCCTAGTTGATAAAATATATTTATGCCATATATTACATATTTCTGTCTGGATCTTTTCCTCTGAAAGACAACATGTACAAAACATGTTTTTACAGAAAAACAAGTTCTTTTTCTGTTAACAGAGCAACACTTAATGATCTAGGTAGATGGTAGTCCTAAAGATACATAGAGTTTCATGGAAAGGGTGAATATTTTATTAAATCAAAAATAAATACAAAATTAAATTTTAACAGATAAATTTTACATTTATACAGAAGACATGATGTTACAATAGATGGAAATTTTATTCTCCATTTAACATTGCCTAAAACATTTATGTTTTTTCCCACAACTGATGCCACAGAGTTCAATTAAATATAAATCTAGATAGCACCAGGCTATGCCATGTTGATATTTATTTCACCATTGCACACTATCAATCAACATTAATACATATTGATTCTTTTCTAATAAAAAAGAGATTAGGACTTCGCCATTAAAGCAATTAAAAATTCAGAAGGGAAAATTAATGTATTGGTCATTCTTCCTACTTATTTGCAACAACCTCGTCGCATAGCTATTTTGCGATTCGATATAAATAAACTGTCACATTTGGCACACATTATAATTTGA